CAAGGATGGGAACCTGCTCGCTCAAAACCTATAAGTGCCTCAACCTTCTCATCAAGCTATCCACAAGTGGAAAATAACCTGAACCGACCACTTATGCATAAGCAAGCAAATACTTCGACTGGCAGTCAGGCAATGGCAGTTGAATTCTTTTGCTCTACAAAAAATAAGGCCACATGGGGTCTCGTCCTTCGCCTCCCAACGCATCTATCTTAGGAGCTGCAATGGACGTTCCGCAAGAAATTCAACTTGACCGGCTCCATTCAACTTTCAAGCGTTGCTTAGTGGGCCCAGGATATCGCCAGGAAATACGGGCTCGACTACAAACGAGACATTCAGTCAGTCGAAACTTCCTACCATTCGCATTATCTTCCCTTAGCGCTGTTTATCATGGATGGCAAGTTCAACAACTGGATGTCACTAACGGCATTTCGCCATGGACTCTAACGAAACTGTGTATATGCGCAACCAAAAGGCTATTGAAGATGCTATTCATCCGATTCACGTTTGTTGCTTCACAAAGCCCAATCTATTGCCTCAAACAAGCTGACCAGGCAGTGGTACACAACCTTCAAATCATCTCTCGATATCGGCTCTGTCGTGAGATATCAACCAATTGTTTCATTCCCATAGATTTAAAAAATGTCTTGAAGGAATTTTGATAAAAATATTGCATGTTAATTTTAGGCAAATGTCACACATGATATTTTCTAAGCTATGATGACTTTTGACTTAGCTACTAGGCATGTTTTTGTTTGGAAATTTTATATTAAAATGGTGATGGTGATTAGTCACTGTTTATTGGCAGCAGTCCGGGCGAGGGTTAGATGAAGGAAATTTCAAGTCATGTTCTAGTAGCAATGGTCATGTAGGCTCTATAGCATTGGTCAGGGCATTAGTCCGAAAGCACTGGCCAAATAGTACTCCAATGGCAAATGGCTAGTGTTGCTTCACATGACGGTAGGGTGGTATTTCAATGACCGGCTGATTTAGCAGTTAAAGATCAGCGGTGGTTTGATGAGTTTGTTAGGGGTGGTCAATTGCGGGTAAGGGTTTGTTCGGGTCGAACCTGAAATTAACCCGGCACTATTCGGGTTAACCCGACCCGACTCGTTTTTAAATGGGTCAGTTTCTGGACCCGAACTCAACCAGCTTTGAGCCTGGTCAACCCTACACGACCCAAATGACCCATTTCCAACAAAAAATTGTTAATTTTTGGGTTCAAAAATGGATCCAATTCTTCGCTTTTTAGATCAAAAAATGGAATCAATCTTCAAGTTGGCTGGTCAAAAATCGGATTTTCTAGTTAAAAAACAGGTCAAGTTCAGTTCAAAGGGTCAAACCCAAACCGAACCCGTTTCGGGTTCGGATCGGTTGACCCTTCAACCAAAATTTTTGAGTCGGGTTCGAGTCAGGTGTTTTTCAGGTCATTTCAAATATTGGGACACCCCTAATATTTGTTCAAGTTGTGCGCTCAACCATGTAATGAGTTAGAGGGTTGAGGCTCTTATAACATATGAACTCTCTCAATCTCAAACCCCAACTCAAGCCTTTAAGGAGTAACAATTTGACATAATATAGATAAAATCTTAAAAATTATATCTTACAGCTGTATACTAACTCCCTCAATCATCAATAATTATTTAGCACTTATATTAAGCCAATTTTGCTCTTCATCTGATTACTTCTCATCAAAATAATTGATGATCAACCTATTATGTGCATATTTGGAATTGTTTGGTCATCCAAATTAATGTCCTAAAGTTTCTAATACACATCAGTGCTCGATCACATTTAAGTATCCAATGACTTTGCGCTAACTTAATTATAAGTTAGTAGATATTGAAGTTTGGTTGGGCTGTGTATTTTTAAAATTTTTTTGGGAAAAAAAAAAAAATTTTTTTAATTTGAATATGTGTTCAGGATTTCATGCCCAAATCTAGGCAAATTTTTTATATGCATTAATGCATTTCTTTTATTATAAGAGATTATCAGTTATTCAATGATCAATATAAAAAATTAACTAATTTTTCCTCTGCCATACTTAAGAAAAGCTAAGAGTTGTCATCAACATGCATGAATGTGGGGCCTTCTTAGATCATCAACATGGGAAATGGGCACAAAATGTATTGATTTTCAAGTCAAGAAATTAGAGCAAATATCCTAATATTGAATGAACAAAATCTAAATATTGAGATTATAAGGTCATTTGGGACAGTTGCAACTTTTCGTAAAGTTGGTGTGAAGTATGGTTGTAAGGAGAGCAATTAGCTACTATGGTTATACAAAGAAGCTTTCACTGCAAAAATTTAAAAAAAAAATAGTGAAAAGCAGCAAGAAATTTAGCAGTGGCAAAATAAAATTGTTGATTTATGTCTCATATAGCGCAAAGCAACAAAAAAAGTTAATTTCGCTAAGCAGTCGTGTAGTTCTAATCTTAATAAAAATATTGAAAAGACTTGTTCATTTAAATCAAAATTAATGTAAATTTATTACAATTTTTAATTAATTAGATATTATTATTATAATTTAATTATTAATATAATTTAATACAAAGTTCATTATGGATTAAATATTTAAGGGTCTGCTTGAGATACTGTAGCCTTTTATAAAGTCTGAGTGTGAAGAGTTTGAGGAAAACAACTTATCTTCTTTTAGTTGTAAAAAATAGCTTACACTACAAAAATTTTCTTAAAGAATATTGAGAACAGGAAGGAAAATAGTAGCCAAATGCATTTTTGTAGTTGTTGGCTGAAAAGCTGAAAAGCAAAGAAATTAAGATGCATTACCAATGGGCTTAAAAAAAATATGACACACATATGACTCATTCAGTGCACCATTTCTATATCATCATGCAATTAATCAAAATAATATCTATGCTAAATATAATTAACACATGTTTTAATATAAGTTACATAAATTTGTGGTGTTCTGTAATGATAGTACCAACAATTATTTCATACCTTTTTAAAATTGATGATCAATTCTTCTATAAAGGCGTTGTTGAAAAATTTTAAGGCTTTGTTTTTCTTTTTCTTTTTAAGTTTTTCCTCTTAAACAACAACCATAAATTTTTATTTTGGTTATTTATTCTGTTATTTCTCATTACATTTTCAAAATTTTTTTGTAGTGAAAGTTATTTTTCACAACAATAATGGCTAAAAATTGTTTTCACCACAGCAATTTCATTAATCAATTTTATAAAAAATTATTGACATCTCAAAGAGACACTATTATTTCAACTTAAGAGATGCTATAAGTAAATTAAAATTTATACTTCATAGCATTATGAACATGTTTTTTTATTAAATAGAACATGAATGTTTTTAGTTTAAATTATGCAATTTATTCACTAACTTGGACTTCAAAATTATAGAGGTTATAACTTTCTAAAACTATCCTAAATAATTTGCTCATAAAATCATAGTTAGCTAGATAGGCTCAAACTTGATACTATGACACTTTAATGACAATGACAATATATTGGTCCATTGGGAACTAAAGCATATGGGAAACAATCACATACCACTGACAGAAGGCTAAACATCAATGTGAAACTCGATCTTAGTTGTGCAATTATAGATAGCTTTAAGTTTTGATGGTTTTTTTTTTTTTTTTTTAATTGGTTATCTCATACAATGGTTTATTTTTTTTTTTTGGAGGTTTTTACAGATAGAAATGAGAATCAAGAACTCCAAGAATAATTCATCTAAATGGGGTTCTCTACTTTCTGGAAGGTTTTTTACAGATCTTAGTAAATGCAATATAAATCCATCAAGCAAATTCAACAATTTCTAATGGTTGTGATTAAAATTGTAACACTATGATGTGGGCACCGACTTGACAAGCATAGAAATGGGGCCTTAAGCTTATGTTGATGCCTAATCACAATGATGAACTAGCTTATTTTGGATTACATGCCCTCCCCTAAGCTTCAAATAGCCATAGCAAGCACCTGATCAAGCTGAGAAATCTGCAACACTGTTAGAGAATGAGCCTACATTGAGTTTGGCAATGGTTTAGGAGGTTTTTTCAGAGAGAAATGAAGATCAAAGCTTCAAAATAATTCATCTAAATATAGAGAGAGCGAGAGTCAGCTCTATTCACTCTAAGATAACCTTAACCTAAGGGATACCTTATTTTGGTGATATATTCCTTTTGCATGGAACCAACTACTTAGAGCATAATTCGTATGTCCATCAATATGAAGAAGGTGGTCGGGAGTGCATGCAATGTGGGAAGGGTTCAGAAGAGTAGCAACACTTTGAAATTACACTAATGTTATTCCACTTCGCCTGCCCCCTCCATTGTTCTTAATGAAGTCTAATTATTGTATGCCTAATTAAATGACTCCACACAAGATTTTTACTTAAGGGCATGGGGT